GCGAATAGGCAACCTGATAAGGCTTGTCGAAAGCTATCAGCTCATCTGGAATAATGCACAGACTAGCAGTGGTGAGCATCAGATGGACACATGTGGTTTTAGAAAACCCTCTGAAAATTTGAACTTCTTTGCCTTTCTGGTTCTCCAGTTAATTTCCCCGCCAAAACTTTCAGTGTCCGCACGTGAAAATTAGATTCAGTTAAGAGCTGAATGTGAAATCCTTGGGTTGTAACAAGTCCTTAAAATTTCAGGGAACAAGCCCTTAAAATTTCAGCTTTCTAGCTTTCCGAGTTAGCAATTGACCCGTCAAAACTTTAGTGGCGTCAAAACCCTCGCCCCTTCTCTCCGCCACAGTATAGACACTCGAACTAATCCTAATAAAAAAGAAGGGATATATGGTTTAGCAGTTCCTGGCTCACAGTCGACGAAAATTCCTGGCTGTTCCCGATGCAAATTTTACAAGCTTGCCGACGTCTTCAAAGTGTCAAATCCGAAGAACCATGCCCAACTCCACAATACTATACCTGTCCAAACAACAAATACACGCCAACAAAAAAGCTGGGATTCCAAAACTTTGCGGAAATATATGTTTCAAAGCACTAACGACTAATGGAATTAAGGAAGACTGTTAGAAGAGCTAATGAACCAGTGAAAGAAACCAAGTAAGACCAACAATACAAAGAGTTTCGAGCTTCATGAAAATGAAGGCAAGGTGCAGCGCAAATGAGGACAAAAAAAAAAATAACTGGCCAACGCAAGGGCTGCCTGTGCGAAGATGCGTTTTTGGCATAGTTCCCCGCAGTTTTTGTCGCTACCAGCACCGGTTCTTCCGGCAAATGAACTGTCAGGAAACATCCCCTTAAAATTTCAGCTTTCTAGCCTTCCTGGCTCCTGAGTTAGCAACTTACTGGAAAAAAGCTTTCACAGGCCCATACGTGTGTAACCACGCACATCCGAGGCTGGGTATGAGCTCAATGAGACCTAGGTGGACGAGGAATATTCTCTTAAAATTACAGTTTTCTAGCCTCTCAGATTCCCGAGTTAACGACTTACACGAAAAAAATTTTAGCGGGCCCGTACTTAGGTACCACGCCTACCCGGCGGCTGGGTATGAACTCATTAATACCCACTTGGACGGGGGACATTCCCTTAAGATTTCAGCCTCTAGCTTTTCAGATTCCCGAGTTAGCGACTTACCGAAAACTTTGGCGGGCTCGCACGTGGGTATCACGCAGGTAAGGGCCCCCATTATGAGAATTGGGGCCCGTACGTGCATGTAGATTATGTACCCAAAGTTCCAGCCTTGCAGCTTTTATAGGTCTTGAGATGAAAAATCGGTAGAGATGCTTACACAAACACAAGGACACACAGATAACCCCTTGTCGATGTGCGTTTTTGCATTGCATAGCTGCAAAAAACGCATGAAAAAAAACAAAGAAGTTCGGACTAGTTATCACCAAAATAGAGATGTCGGAGCAGATTTTGTTTCTTATTTTTCGCGGAAAACCAGATTCTATCTTGGTAAACTACTAGCAGAAGTCAGAATTTGTTCCGAAAGGCTCACACTTGTTGTTCGGACAGAAATTCACTTCCATAATAGTTCTGGTATGCAATAAACATGCCAAAGCGTAACCACAAAAAGAATACAAATGCCAACAGAATTTGAGATGTACCGTCTTCATGAATGATTCGAGAGGCCATCAAATCTACCAACTGGTCGTTGCTCATTTTCCATACGGGATCAATACTTTCCCATATCCTCGAAAGACCATTCGCACTACCAGGTTCGACATCCGCTGCACCCTGCAACACCAAAATGCCAGTGAAAATGATACAAAAGCAGCAGACTCTGCACACACGATGAGAGAATGCCAGTTTGCTGCTTCAAAACCAGGAATCGAAGGAAACGAAAAAATTCTATTATTGAAGAACCATTTTTGCATCTTCTCATAATTACGTTTTCGTTCAAAAAACCAGTTTATTGCTTGAAAATCATCCAATCACTAAAATAACAAATCGTGATCCAAGAGTGGCAAAGCTTGGAAAAAGGTGGTATTGCTCAACACTCATCAGTGGCATCTCAAAACGGCTAAAGCTTGTTAAGTGCTTCTGTCACGAGAACCGTTGAGTCAATAATTACTTCATGAGGCAAAATCACCAGGAGAAAATGACCAATAGGCAGCAGCAGCAAAGCAACTAGAAAAGTTGCCAACTGCAAATTTGAATAAATAGCAATGCGCACCAGACTAGCCGGTGCAATCATACGTTTCGTGCAATTCAGCCCATCGAACGATTC